TCAGAATAATTACCCGCCAGAAAGGATTTTCTATTCTTTCTCTCTCTCCCCCTCTTTCTCTTCCTATCCCTCTCCTCTCTTCATATATCTCTCTCTCTCTTCATCTCCCTCTCCCACTTCCCTTCTTCTTTCTCACCCTCTCCTTCCACATTGTTTCTCTCGCTCTCCCTTATTCTCTCTTTCTCTCTCTTTTCCTTTTTTTCTCTTCCTTCTCCTTTCTCATTCTCCCTCTCTATCCCTCTCCCTTCCCATTTTCCCCTCTCATCCTATCTCTTCCTCCCTCTCTCCACTCTTCGCTCCAAGATTGCAAAACAAGGAGGCAGCAATAGAGGTCAAGTAATTTGGGCAACTTCCTTCAAGCGAGGAAGACGATGCTTCAAGTCTTCGTTATGGCTTCTCAATTATCATAAACTTATTATCATTACCTCTATTGTCATTATCTTCGCCTTATTATAATGATTATTAATTTCTATTATTCTTATCATGATAACCAAAACTGTTATCAATATTATTACTATGTCATTAATATCACCAAGAATAATATTTCATTATTACTATAATAATCATAATCATTTTCATCATTACTATGATCATTCATTCTTTTATCAATCTCTCTAAAGTCATTATGGTATGTGTTGCTATCTAGCATCATAATCTTTTATCATCAATATTACTATTATTACTATCATTACAATTATTATCACCATCATCACCATCCCAGACATCATCACTATTACTGCCACTGATAGAAATGACAGCACTATAAAATATGAAAATATGGCCCATCCAATCTCAGTGTTTCCGCCAAGTTCAAAAAAGGGAAAAGCAGGTTTTATGAGAGGATGACGAATCAGGAAAGGAAGGAGGAAGGATGGATAAAGACTGAGAAAGAGAAAGAGCAAAAAGGGAGTGAGAATGACTGAAAGTGAATGAGGTGAGAGAGAGATGATAGAGATAGATAGATAGAGTAGAGAGAGAGAGATAGAGAGAGAGAGAGAGAGAGAGAGAGAGAGAGAGAGAGAGAGAGAGAGAGAGAGAGAGAGAGAGAGAGAGAGAGAGAGAGAGAGAGAGACAGAGTGAGAAATGGAAAAAAATAACAATTAAAATATACCAAAACTCCTTACAAGAAAAACAACGAACCACAACCAGCACTTACCTTCGAAGAACAACACACACAAATAACATCTAAATACAAAACACAGGTAATTAAACACCCACAAACACAAAAACAAAACACTGAACATGCCAGTGCGGTTCCATTTATTCCAAGGTTCTCCCCTGGCGAACGACAGTGTGGCCGGATAACACTGTACAGTCCGGATATTACGAAGGGCGTTGTATACTGTACGCGAACCTCGCATATATGGGACACGTCAATTAACTTCATGTTTATTCGTTCAGGGACGTCGGTCGTGGCTGCATTATTGTGCATCGCATGAAGTAGGCAGCTGTTGACCCAATCATTTTGGAACTGCAACGTGCGAATGGTCCTAAAAACGGGGAATTTCCCTGCAGGCTTTTGGCCAAAATCATGCATATCTATTTTTAAAATCACCCCAATACATTTCGGACTTACAAAAAAATGAATAAATAAATAAATAATAAAATAAATAAATAAAAATGAAATATTAATATAAATAAAAAATAACAAAATAAATAAAAACAAAATAATAATATAAATAAAAAATAATAAAATAAATAAAAATAAATAAATAAAATAAAATCCTAAACCTACCGGACTCCCTATGTACGCTTCTCCACATCGCCTCACAAAATCTACGGCAACTCCCCGCCACATTTCACTTAAAACCTCGCCCCGAGCAACGGCTGAAAATGAATACTCTCTGATATGCACACAAAGTCCGCCCTCAGCGAGAAGTACGTAAAGAACCAGCTAAGAGTAAGGCAGGCGAGGATAAGGCTTAAAGAAGATCTGCTCGTATGAGGGAACACTGGGCGACACACGTATTATGCAGATTGCACCAGTGGGCGTGTAACCTGATCGCGTCTAATTACTGAATGACTGGCCAATTGCAAATGACCTACACTGAGGACTTCGAACTTGAAATGACGCAAAAGATCAATGTATATCTAAGTGAGCGACAGCAAACCAACACAAACAAGAATGAAAAAGAAGAGAGAGCTGTAGATACAAAGATAGATGGATAGAGAGAGAGAGAGAGAGAGAGAGAGAGAGAGAGAAGAGAGAGAGAGAGAGAGAGAGAGAGAGAGAGAGAGAGAGAGAGAGAGAGAGAGAGAGAGAGAGAGAGAGAGAGAGAGAGAGAGAGAAACAGAAAGAAAAAAAAGGAGAAAAGATATAGATAGATAAATGGATAGATATATAGATATATAGAGAGAAACAAACAGAAAGAGCGAACGAACCAACCAGACACCCCCCCCCCCAACAATACACCCGCAACCACAAACCCCATAAAAAATACTTCCCCTCCCTACCACCCCCCGCCCCCCGCCCCCTTAGCAATAAAACCCCGAGACCTAC